GAAACAACCCAAATGCCCAAAAATAGATGACTGGATCAAGAAGATGTGGTACATATATACCATGGAATATTACTCAGCATTCAAAAAGATAAACACATGCAATTTGCAGCAACATGGATGGCACTGGAAGGGATCATGCTCAGCGAAATAAGCCAAAAAGAAAAAGAAAAATACCGGATGGTCTCACTCATAGCAGGAATCTAGAAAACTTAAATAAGGGACCAGGAAAATGAATATAAGAAAGTGAAAATCAAAATCAACAAAAAACTATGAACCAGAGACACTTTTTGGGGGTGGGGGGCGGGAGGGGAAGGATTGGGGTCAGAATGGGGCGTTTGCAATTGTATGGGGGAATATAAAAATAAAATTTAATATTTAAAAAAAAAAAAAAATCTCTCTTCAAGACCCTACTTTCAATTCTTTTGGATATAAACCCAGATATGGAATTGCTGAATCATATGTATTTCTTTTTTAAGTTTTTGAGTAGCAGTCATGCTATTACAAGGCTTTTAATTTGACATATTCACTGCTGATTTAAAGTTAGAGGGCAAAAAAAAAAAAAAATGGCTCTTTCTTAATTTATAATTCACACAAAAGCCAGGGAAGTAGCCTTGTCATCTAGTAGAATCAAGAGGTTTTTAAAAGAATTTTTTGACATCTGGAGCAAATGTAGGAACATGTTTTCAACAGTTTCCCTGAGATGTAGAAAAGGAGCAGCAATTGTTGACTAAGCTCTTTAAGGAGTTAAGTATTTTCTACTGGGAAATATTTATCTGTTTGGTGGAGCTGCAAGTTCTGGGGAGTGCCCTCATTAGAAAACAGCTGATGATTCCAGGAAAACTTGGAAGAATCACCATGGCGACACAGAATGACCCATTTCAAGTGTAAGGCCTTTTGTAAGTTGAACTTCAAAAGATGCCTCTATAGTAAAGTTTCTCTTTCATTTTTTTGATTGAACATAAGATATGAAATAAAGTAGCATTATTATCTCCATTCCCCTAGCAATATGATGTACTAAGATGCCTTCAAATTGTGGTCTTGGCTGGGCCATGCCTTAATGGCATGACTTTGCCTTGGCTATTTACCCTCTCCAATCTCAGATGGAGATTGAGCTTCTGAAGTCCCTTTATGTGTGGATTTTCTTCTAGGCATATATGTGCATTTACATATATATATGAATCTCTGTTCAGATCCTTTCTGATACTCAGACATATTGGAAAATGAGATCATAAGCCAAAAGTTGCCAAAGAGACAAATGTAACACCAAAGTCCACCTGCTAAAGCTCCTTCTCTATATTGATTTCCTTCAACACAAGTACACAGGGCTGAGTTCAATCATACTCATGGGTTACAGTCTGCACAGGACCCTCTCTATTTAATCATACTCCACTGTTTTCTCTCCTTCCTCTTTCTTATTTCCAGGTACTACTTGATGATGTAAATGGATTATTATATTTAAGTCTAATGGCAAGACTATGAGTTGTTCCCATTTTACATAAGGGGAAGTCAGGCTTAAGGTGATTAAGGGGAAGTGGCAGAATATCAACCCAGCTAGATGGACCCCAAACCTATACTCCTAAATACCATACTGTGTAATCAGGAAAACTTACTTAAAATTGTTTGTAAATTATTCTGAACTGCCCGTAAGATTCTTCTACTCTTGAAAAGGAAATCTTCACAGACAAGTTTTGAGGAACTTCTCTTCATTCTTCTTTTGCAGACATTTATCACCAGAGGTAGTTTTGTAAAAGTAGAATCACCATCTCTTTGAATTTCCTGTTCCTCTGCTCCATTTCTTTAGCAAAACTGGAGTTAAAATTGTTAGCCTGGGCCTTGACTCTGCTGCTTGCTGGGGAATGTAATTGGAATGATATAAATACCATTTCCCCTCCTTAAATAGAACACCTTTCCACTCACATTGTACTCTTTCTGTGTCTCACTTCCAGGAAGATGGCTGTTAACGGGCAGAATATGCTCTGGAAGTCATGTTTCTCCCCTGGATGACTAGTGCAGGGATTTATAATAGAATAAATGTGTGGGTCCCCCTTAAGGTAAACCCATCCCAAATAGATGGTTAGTTAAAGTGATGGTCATTTGGCATTCCTGGCATTTTTAGCTCAAGCTCTGATATGTGATGGCCAAGATTGTTAGTGTTGGTTGGCCGTATTTTGTTTATGAGTCTCGGTGGGAAGGGAGAACAATCCTGGGGGGAATGGAAGGAGGTGAGGTAGATGCAGGGACAGGAGAAGGAAAGGGCTTAGGTTGACAAGGAAGATTCGTCCCATGAGAGTCTGAACATGGATTACCAGGATGGGGAGGGCACACCAGGATTGAGAGGTGCCAAACTAGAAATAATAGTAAAAATAATGATAATGATGGTGATAATCACAATGTTAATTTCTATTGAGGGCTTGTTGTGTACCAGGCAATATGTTATATTTCTTTAAATACACACACACACACACACACACCCCTAAAGAAATATATATTACTTTACATATATTTCTTTATTTGCATTATCTTATTTAGTCTTTCCAACAACTTTAGATAGGTACTATTATGGAGACCTGAAATAGATATTATTACAGTCTCCATTTATGATGGGGAAAATTGAGGTTTAGAGAGGTTAAGTAACATTTAAGATAACAGAGGTAGGTATGACTCATTGCACCTTGCTTTTAACCACCACAAACATACAGTCAATGAGCTTTGGATCCAAGGGACAAGGTAAAGATAGAAGGAGAGAATGTCTTTTGAAGAGGGTAATTGAGAAGGTCCAAATGAGACTATGTGAAGGGCCCAGTTCTGATTGGGTGGTTCAGAATTTCACCCAAATTGGGAGAGCACCCCAGGGTGGTTCTCCTGATAAGTACCAAGCATCCATAAATCCAGGCCAGATTCACATTCTGTTCTTAGACTCATCTCTTCACTGTCTTCTTCCTAACTTTAAGAACATGCTATTATGTAACTTGGATATGACAGCCAAAGATAATTTTCTACTTGAAACAATCATCACATTTTATGCCAGATAAGTTTGACTGAGTAAAAGACTTCTTTCTTCAAGTGAGCATTTTATTCTATAAACTATAGAAAGTCCTTGCAAAGACATCCTTGCAACTGATGAAATCAAACTCTTCCCCAAGAGAGGAATCCCTAAGACTTCCTAGACTATGCAAGAAAATCATGTACCCGCAATAAACTCATTTAGAGTTCCATCAAAGCATTCAAATGCAATTTTTTATGAAGTGTCTTTTATTTTGCACTTGGTTCCTCTGTAACAAATGAGTCATTGATTTTCAAAAAATTTCAAATGTATCCAGAACTTTTTTTTTTTTGGTATTTTGTTTTGAACAGCCATTCAGAAGCCAAAACCAGTAACCCTGTCCTTTCTCCCTGCTGCTTTGCTGTAAAGATAGTTTTTCTCTATATGGATCACAGTGGCTTCTTTGACAACAACCAACAACCTCAACCAGCCAAATTGTTGACCCATGTGAAAGGAAAGCCTCACAGTCTTTCTAAAATGTTGCCTGGCAATTATTTTTTAACACTTTCGGGCAATTTTCTGGGAAGGTCTGAAAAGAACAATAATAAAAAAAGGAACTTTAGGGGCAATCTCAATTCTTTTTGTAATTTATGAGGTATTCTAATCTAGAGTTCCTTTGGAAGCCTCTCCATTTAAGTTTCAGTAGGGGAACCCACTGGAGTCTCACCATAAAACTGTGGTTGGATATAATAAACCCCTGAGGACTAGTCAAAGACAGATTCACTTGATGCCAAATTCTTTTCTATCATCCAAGAGTGGCCAACGAGACCAAGGGTGGGAGTGAGAATTCACCAGGGTTTTCAACAAAGCATTCCAATAAATTAAAAAACAAACAACCTTTGTTAGAGAAGTGTTTGCTAATGCTGGCTAGTTAGAGCGCCCTCATGTGTCTCAGCACAGCAGTATAATTTTAGAGCTTTCAGAGGACATCAGTCCACCAGCCATTTATTAGCATTGTCTTCCTTCCCATTCATTTCCAGACCCACAAAGTTGGCTCCTTTTCTTTAGGTGCTACTTAGAATTTTCAGTGTGTTTATTTTTTTTTCTCTGAGGTTGTAGACATAAACTATTTCATTTTCTAGTGTACTTATATGCCTCTTCTATAAATATCAATACTTGCTGATCATTGCTTATTAAAATATCAATTCCTGCCCAAAAAGTGAAAATAACCCACACCTGGTGAATCCATAAGTAGATTATGTCAATCCATATAATGGAATAAATAATAGTAATAAATAAGAAGGAACCGTTGGCATACATAACAATAAAAGACTACATAAAATAAGATTCCAATTATGTGACATTCTGAAATACAGACACATATCAGATCAATGTTCCAAGAATTGAGAGAGGGGGTGGGATTGACTGCAAAGGGATACAAGGAAACTTTGGGGGAAGATGAAAATATCAGTCAAATATCTTACTTGATTTTGGTTACTTGACTGTATACATTAGTTAAAACTCACAGAACTGGCATTGCTGGTATGATTTTGAATATAGCTGCCTTCCAAAACTCAGAGAACTATCCTCAAAAAGTGGTAAGATTACTGCTTATAAATTGTACCTCAATAAGCCTCACCTAAAAGGATCTCGATGGACTTCTTCCCAAATACAAATCCCCAACCCTTCTGGGTTAGTCTCTTGGCCTCCTTTCCTTTGTCCATTTGAAAAAGACACCAAAGATGAACTCTTGTGAGAGACTGTGGGTTCCAGGCCAATTCAAAGCCCCAGTGTGGCCAGACCACATTCCATACAGTCTGCTGCCTGACTCAGCTATTGTGCCTGAGAGTGAGTGCACTGACATGGAGCCTCCCTGGCATGTGAATTTTGAAAGGAAAAACGTCAAAGTTCTGGGCCAGTGCTAACCCTGCTACAAATCAGCAGGAACCCCTTGAGGGGAAAGGTAATCTGGACCCTGAAGGCAAATTCATATTGTCCATGTTCTGGCTTCCCTCAGGGAAAGACAACAGCCCATTGTTCCTGGGGAGAAGCTATGACTTCAGCAAGCTGCCCTTAAGTCACAGACTGAACGTCCAACCAGGCAGCCTTCAAGGTCTGATTCTGGAAAACAGACTCAGCTTAGTGACTCTGAAGATGCTCTGCCCTTCTTCATCCTGACATTGGTGACCACACATGTTGATCCAGGCCAGAGCTTGAGACTCACCTAACTTCCCAAGAGGGTAAGTCCTAAGTGTTCTCAACTCCCCCCCCCCCTCACCATAAACACATGAAAGATAACTATGTGAGGTGATGGATGTGTCCTCTACCTGACTCTGGTGATCATCTCACATTCTATACCTATATTAAACCACCACATTTGTACACCTTAAAAATTTACATTGTATAACCTAAATTTGTACAGTTTATATTTGTCAATCATACCTCAGTGAAGCCTGGGGTTTGAGGGGAGGGTCACCTAACAAGTATATTTTCTAAATGTTAGTTCCCACCTCCCATCTGAGCTTCTAGTGCAATAGGTCTGAGATAGTCTCTGGAAATTTTGCATTTTAATACACATTTTGAGTGATTCTGATGAAGGAAGTCTAAGAAATGACGATGGGCCTAGAAAAACTCATGTATAGGCTTTTGTTATCACTTTGAGAAAGTGGAACAATTTATTCATTGGAAATGGCTGACCTACCAAGTGGTTTGAATAGCAAAGTGATTAAAAATGGGGCTCTGGAATGGGACCCCTAGTTCAAAACTCATTTCCCCCGTTATTACCAATGAGATCTTAGGTAGGTTTACTTAAGCTTTCCGCAGCCTGTGTGTAAGAGGGGGTAAGATCAAATGAACTCACATTAAAAGATCACTCAGAATAGTGCCAGGAAGCATTACATAAACATCAATTATCATTCTGTCCAGATCAATAAAGACTAGGGGGTGGGAGGTGGGGAATATTGCAAACCATGAACAAAGAGAGTTACTTCAAAGAGCTTTTTTTTTTTTTTTTTTTAAAAGCTTGGACATCTCCAAACACTTCAGATGGCAGAGGGAAATGTAACTATGTATATGCCAAGGTCCCTATATTCCTAATTTCTTTGCCCTCTTTAAGTATTAAAAATACAAGAAATAACCTTCTTCTGTTAAGGAACTTAAGAAAACTCACATATACTGGCTTGTAAAGACAAATTATATTGGGCTGTTGGAAAAGCCATGATGTATTTTTCCTGTTTTTCAAGCAAAAATGCATCATGACTTTTCCAAAAACCCAATATATAATTTTCAGTGATTCTTAGAGATGCAAATCAGATTCACATGTGGAGCTCAAATTTTGTTAAAAATTTGACTCAGTAAGGATAAGCGTGGAGCTCAGGGAATCCGAATTTCTAAAAAGTTCTCTGTGATTGGGTTATTTATTCTAGAAAGACAACTAATGTTACAGGTGAAAGTTATGATAATTCACCTTGCTTTAAAGTAAGAAACCGGCCTCCCCGGTGGCGCAGCCGTTGAGCGCTGGGTTGCGAAGCTGCCCGCGGCCTCTGCGGCGCCAGTTCGATCCCCGGCTGCTCCCCGGCCACCAGAGGAGGGTCCCACATGGCGCGCAGACCTCTCCTGCTGCCCGCTGCTCCCCTCAGCAGTGTGCTTCGGTCCTTCTGCCTGCTCTGCTCCCCTCTCTGGCTCTGGTGAATTCTCTCACCCTCCCGCGCTTCTGACTGTACCCAGTGCTTGTATAAACGAAACAAACAAATAAATAAATAAAAAGCATGCCTCTATAAATAAATAAATAAAAACTAAAGAAACCGAGGCCAAACATGTTAAATACTTTCTCAAGGTACTCAGAAAATTATTCTCAGAGACAAGAGTTGGACTTTAGTGCATAATTCTAAGGCCAATAATCTCTCCGTTACAATTTATACCACAGTAACTACTTGTAGAGGATGGGATAAGCATAGTAAATTTTTTACTCCCTGTAAGGGCAGGACTGGACCACAGGGCAGGTTCTCTGATCCCATGCAGACCGGGTAAAGGAGGAGTCAGAGTCCTCAGTAGTTTTGCAGGTTTTTTATTTGGGGTTCACCAGGCATATGGCAGGCAGGGGTGCTGGCTGGGGGGCTGGGAAGCTGGCAGGCCTCCCAGCCCCCAGCAAGTCTTCACTCTATCTGGGCTCTCTGGAGTTGGTTCTGCTGCTTCTCAGCTTCTCTTTCGGCTTCATACTACTGCTGCTGCTGCTACTGGCATCCCCCCGTGACGCCACCCTTAAAAGCACAGTCTTATCTCAGCTGAATCCCATCTACCTATGCCCACACCCTATTCCAGGTGCCCGCCATCAGGCATGCATTCAGGCAAGGATCCATCATCTATCCAGATGGCGGAAGGGCAGAAAAGCCTGATATTTTCTTTACCCTACACTCCCTCATTAGCTTATGAAATAATGCTCTGCTTTAAATTCATAGGAACTTTAATTAGAATTGCGGATCTGGGATTCTGAATTCCTTTCTTACCCACATGTTCCAATTTCCTGATTATCCCCATTAAATCTTTGGAAGGGTGAAGGAGAGACAGCTCATGTGGAGCCTGGGTCAAGTCCCTATGGGAACTATGATCATGAACTTGAGGGACTTTATAGAGCCTAAGAAACTCCCAAGACACAGTTTCATTATGAACAATTCCAAGATAAACTGGCACATAAAACCAAGAAAAAGAGGATTCTGTCAAATCGTGACCCTAAGAATATTGGCCTGTAAATCATCAGCAACAAGTCAGTGGGACACAGATCACACAAATATCTGAAATATCCACCTGAGTGGCTGAAAGCAGTGGCATGTTAGTGGCCTCTGCTCTGGGTTGAGGTTTTTGTGGATTCCCTTTTTATCTTGGGAAACATGTGTGACCTATAAAGTCCCTCAGAACACATTTTCTTTAATGTATTATCAGAGAAGAAAATCTGTCAAATTAAAGTCTGCGGCGGGAAGAGGGGAGGGTGGCCACCCATCCAGTAAATCATTCTGCTGAAGTTGAGCCAGGGAACCAAACTGGGGCAGTATCATTTTGCTTAAAGATGGTCTGGCAGGCTGGAATCCCTGCCTGCAGACCTTCACACATCACCGCCCTCTTGCTAATAAAAAGAACCCTTTTCTTTAGTTACTTCTTGGCATCCCACTGGCTACTTTCCTTTCAAATTTTCTGTTGCCCATATTTCAATATCCTACCTTTGCATTCTCCTCTTGCTCTTGTTAAAATACTGTTTCTATTTTTTTTTAAAGATCCCTTTTAATCAGATAACCCCTGCTGGCATGAGCTGTCAGAGGTATTCATTTCAGTGGACTCTGGCCTTATGCTGCATTACCTTGGCAACAAGATTTAGAGGCAAAGGTTTGGCCTTGAACTTGTCAGAGTCTCCAACGACATGAACTCAGCACATATTACTCTCCAGCACATCAAGTTGTCATGCCAACCGCTTACAATAAAGCCCATCTCTCTCTTCTAGGGTTCTAATTCAATAACTTTTCAAATTGGTTCCTTCTGTAATTCAATTGGTTTCAAAATGTAATATCTGAATGGGTGTGTGTGAGCACATGTGTGTGTTTAACCAGTTGCTAATGGCCTTCCACTAAATGACTGGAGATTGGAAATACAATTCAGGTCAAAAGTTCATCAAAAAGCAAAGAAAAGTCTGTGCTAGATCTAACACAAGGAGTCTCCCTGCCATTTTGGAAATCCTGACAAAGAGGTAACAAACCCTCAGGTGTTGACTTCAACCTTTTTGCAGAAGTTTGTGACTTCCGCAGCCCTTACCCAGAGAGCTGTACCCCCACACATGTTTAGAACGCCTTAGTTTTGAATTCACAACTAACTTTAATTTCTTAGAACACTCCCTTTTTATAGTGACATTCCATTTTCCTCTAAATCAAAAAGTTTGTAAGAACCTGTCCTCTTAGAAAGTTTCTTAATCATCTCAGGACACTCAGCTAAGGCCTTACAAGGAGTCTAGTGGCCACAAGTAAATAGGGGTCAGGGTTTCTCAAAATTACTTGTATCATTGCTTCCTTATCCTTGTGCCAACTGTACAAGTATTTGCTTACTGTTTTTCTCCTTTTCATTGGCATATTTAAATACACCTGGGAAGGGAGCTTTATAATATGGACCTGATAGCGGTGTTCTTTTAGACTGCCACTGAGGACATGGTTATTTACCAGCTCTCAATAACTAACTCAGAGGGATGGCGATATCCTGAGCGTGACTGAAAATACTTTTTAAGTACAAATTCATATAGTCCTCTGCATTCCTCTCCAATCCTTTGAGGCAGGTAACTATTTTTATCATTCCAACTTTGCAGAAGAAGAAATAGAGACTCAGGAAAGTTAGGCAGCATGTCCAGAGCCCACTGTTGGTGTCAGGGTGAAAATGGAACCCAACAGCCTGGTTCCAGAATACCAAGTTTGTATCCTGATTCATTGGGTTCTGGTTGACTGTTAAAGCCTGTGTGCCAAGTTTTATGTAGGAATATTGATTACCTAAATTACACCCTTCCATCTCCTTTCTAGTAGCTCACTGAATGCTTTTCACACAAGTTGCTCAGAAATATGGCTAGCATGTTAAAGAGTGATCTGGAATAACTCCAGAATATCAAATTCAAGGCCACTTTGAAAACAGTTTATAAGTTGGGACAATAGGGGCTACATCACCTCAAATTTACAGGTACATTAGGTTTTCCACAGATGAAATTCATTGGGAGCAGTGATGTGTTTCATGGTGTGATGGATGTTTTCTGTTGCCCGCGTGTCCGCACTTTCCCACTGTGCTTTCTGCCCAGGGTACATGACTTTTACAGACTGCACCAGCTGGTCTCTTGCCCGCTGGGTTTGTGTTGGATTAAGAGGCACTGGCAGAATGAGAAAAAGATTGGAGTATTGATTCCCTAGCTCATTCATTGCCAAGGCAGTTTGGTAATAGTTGCTTCCCTCTTCTGAAACCGTTGGGTCTACTGAGTAGCTCTCTCTTACAGCTGTGGTTTTCACTGAGATGTTAACAGCTTTCTGCTTGTACTAATTCCTGGGTGCTTTGCCATTCCTTCTTGATGTGTTGCAACTGACAGAAATTTTATTAATAGTCCCTCCAATAAATAGATCATCTGTCTCCTGACAGGATCCTGGCTCTTATACCTGTCATCTGGCCCAGCATTTCTCACGGCCCAGTATTTCTCACATGAGAATCACCTACAAACCTCATTAAAGTG